GAATTGTATTTCTGTGGTATCCTTGAACACAGCGTCTTCTCAACATGATGTAAACACACTAACTAGTCTAGCAGAAGTGTTTGTGGGCAGGTCAGACTCTGTTCGTATTTCGCGGGCAGGCGGGGATTATGCAAATGTGTTACCCAGTGACGTATACCGGTAACAGGCAAAAGATTTGAAAATATGACGACTCGTTTAGGCGATTCAGAATCGACTCTCTCTTTTGAGAGACAATATCTTTACATATCGTGCACTTTTCTGATTAACAACTTTGCAGATTGTTTTCATTTAAGGATAGCTATGTTATAAACTGCAAAAGAGATATTTTTCAAAAACCCATATGACCTGCTCTTTAAAACTAATAGACGTCTATAGGATGATTGGCCATATAAAACTGTAAGCAGTTTTTTTATACAGCACATATATAGTCTACAGAACACATCACGCCAGTAGTACGTTCAGTCCTTCTGAGCTAAATAGACCATGACATCAGTGATATCTGTGGGGCATCTAATGACAGGGAACAGACGCCATATTGTGGAAAAACATCGATCACACAAGACGTGCTTTGTGGAACATGGTTTGGTTCCACACTCAACTAGATTTTACAAGCCTTGTGAAGACATGTTTCCACAATTGGGCATAATAAACACTGAAAAACACACTTATAAAAATGACTACAAAGAACACTATACTGGATTTGAACAAAAAACGGCTGATAAAAAGGACTGCTCTGTACACTCAAAGACCATAATTTTTTTTCCATTTAGTTGATGAGAAATCCAGTTCTGGAATTCAATGAAATGCTCTTTTCACAGTCCATCTACTTTGTTAAGAAGAAAAGCTCAATTAAATCAAGCTCTAATTCTGAGGCAGCTGAAACCGAATTGTAAAACAGATGAGGTGAAAAACACAAAATTGTGATGCTGAGGACATTTTTGCTGCATTATACCTACTTCAGAACCTACTGATTCAAGGTAAATGTCCTCACCACAGTGATACTTAAAACTTAAGCACATAAAATGAACACTGTAGTGTGTGAAACTGTAGTGTGTGAGTATATGTATGCCATAAACGGTTTTAAATCCCATCACATCATCACTTAAAACGGTGTTCTTTGCCTGAAATCCTCATGGAGGAAAGCTATGATGTACCTTCAGTATTCTACCAGCCAGGCCGGGTGCCATACGCTTATTGCAAAAGGCATTATGGACAAGATCCATGCTGCTGTTGGACAGAACATTTTTGTGGCAACCTCAATGTTCTGAGCTGTCCAGAAAATACAGAGAGCTGACGTAACCAGGACGCTTTGGTATTGCTTGTTCAGATAATAGACCCATTGAAAGCTTGAGATGGAGAGGAAAACAGAAAATACAAAACAGAGGTGCAATTCAGGGTAAAGGGGGTGGGGCGGCCTGAAGTTCTCACGCCTGAAAACCATATCTGTCCAAGGCACTGGGCAAAACTGATCTCACAGGCTTTCAACAGGCGTTCAGGAGGCAGTTGAGAGGGATTAGTTGAATGATTTTTCACTGGTCAGGCGCCTCTTGATGATATCAGGCTTTTGAGGAGACCTCTTGAGACCATGAAGCAAAGAATCAAATGCTCATTTATGTTTGTTTCACACACCGTTAATCAGCTCTTTTTCTCTCCCTTCTGAGAAAAAAATACACCTACACCAGCATTAGGTCTCTCAGCCTGTTCAAGCTGGTCTGGTT